TATCTGTTCCGCGTGAAATAATTCCGATAAAATATAGGCGTCCAAAATATTAATAATATATTTATTTAATGTACATGGAGTACATAATATACTTAAATATATTTATTTATAATTATTATAATATTACTGATTTTCTATTAAAATGAACTTGATTATTTTGTTATTTTAAAGTGGCGCAAATTAAAATTTTTGTAGGTAAACGATGGCGCAGATTACTTAATGACCTTTTATTAACTTTTGTGTGGCCCAAACTACAACCTTAAAAAGTTGCGCGAATAACCAAAATTAATTTCTAGATGTGGAGCAAATTGCATAAATATTTTTTTGGAGTGGTTGTTTTTGGTGAAATTACATACGCCCGAGGCCTTATATGTAAAATAAAAAAAAACAGTTGATAGGGATATTATCAAGAGGAATACGATTTTAAAAAGATTTCTGAACGTTGTGGGAGACAAAAATGGATAACAATAATAATTATTGTTGTGCGAGTATAATATGTTATTGATTACACGAGATCATACAAATACAACATGACGTTCAAAACACAGGATAATTATATTGTTTATTATTTTTTTTTTTTATTGGTTATAAACGATGATCAACATTTTCGTTCGAATATAATGATAGACGATAGTAATAATAATAATAATAATAATAGTAAAATTATAATAATAATAATATTATATAGGTACAATGATATTATTTTTAAGTCACATGAAATAACACACTCGGGGTTTTTAAACGTTACGATTAAATTTAAAAAAAAAAATTATTATTTAATATAACGCTTACGACTTGCGGGGGTGGGTATATGGCTATCCGCTTCGCTGTAATAGTTATATATACACCGACGATCTCGACGCTCTTTCATAATATTAATAATAATAATAAATATTAATTCCATCACGCGGAATCGTCATCGTCATAGATATATAATTCGCATTTGACGAATCCTTTTGTTTCGCACACAGGTATATATAATAATTATTTTCATATAACGTCGCCGTCGTGATTGATTAGGTATAGGAATATCGTCGGAACGTGGTAATACTATATCGTTGATATACCCGGTTAATACCGCGGGCGGTGTGTGCGCGCACTCTAGTATAGGTATCGCATATTATTACCTATGTAAACGTATCGGGAAAAACGAATTTATAAAAAAATAAAATAAAAAATACTGGTATCGTCGATAAAAAAAGAGAAACGTATACAAAAGTAAAATGTGTAGAGTATAATAGGTAGTAATAATCAAAAAAAATTAAAAATAATTGAAACCACGTCGAGATCGATCGGTTCCGGTACCGCGGGGGGGGGGGGGGGCGTACGATATATTATTTATATACAATATGATATTATATATTATAACAAACTCGGTAACAATTATAATATTATTATTATCGAGCTGGTGACGATTTCGTCGGGTGCTTCAGCAGTGTCTAAGACTGGACATTGATCGTAGGGTTCGAGGAGCGCGTATATCATATTATTATGTATCAAACATATAATATTATATTATTACATGAGATCGCGAAAACGACTTACTAAAATCTTATACGAAATCGATATTACGTAGCTATATTATTTTATTATATATTTCAATATTGTGACGTGTGACACGGCGAGTCGGTCGGACGTTTTCTATTTGGCACATAATATAATTATAATATTATCATAATGTTACACGACTCGCGAGCTGCAGTGCAGATTTTTTTTTTTATGATCCGAAGAACAATATTATGATAATAATATACGACGGGCACCTGTTACACGCACGATAATAATAGTGTTATCATAAATAGGGGTCTCGTAGAGGTAATATTCTAGAAATCGCTATGTATTGAATAATAATATTATAATAAACTAATGTTTTGCTTCTTTTTAAGTATTTTTTTTTTGTTTTTTTTTTAAACTTCTTAACCGTCCGTCGTCGCCGGGTTACTATGTTTATATATTATCATATAATATCATATCTGCATCACGGGCCCTTGACGGCGAGCATGTCATCGTCCTCGTCGTCGTCGTCATCGTCGTCTTCGTCACCACCGCCACCGCCATCGTTGTCGTCGTCGTCGTCTCCATCACCGTTCGTCTGGTTCGACGACGACGGCGACGACGGTTTGTTCTTTTTCTTCTTGTTCTTTTTGGCCTTGTGATAAGTCAAGTCGACGTCGTCTTCGTCAGTCACCGACGAATACTCGACGCTGGGGTTCATCGACTCCACGGCTATGTACGATGCGGAGAATCCCTTGCTCACGATGGTGCTGTCTGTCTTGAACCGGAGCAACAGAGCGTCGTTCGTGGATATCACATCCGTCGGGTTCTGAAAATGACAAAACGCTGATTAGGTCTGGTTCGGAAGTAAAGGATGGGTCGAAACTAACTACCTAACTGTATAGGACATTAGGACGTGTGACTTAACTACGTAATATTGGCGTAATATACGATCAACTACATTTTTTTCTCTCTCAAAATAATATTATTATGACGTGCTGAAGTACTCACCATTAAAACGGATTTTCGTTAACATTTTAAAAGGACAGTATAAGAACGACCGTGTGGTTTATGTTTTATTCATATAACTCTACTTATCGCGACCGTAAATGATATTATGAGTATCATAATATTATTTTATATAGCAGCCGAACGTAGTTGTTTTAATATTATCATTATATACTAACGGTCGGTCCGCAGAATTTTCCAAAGAACGGTCCGCTCGTGTCCAAGCTGCTCCACACCTCTACGTAGTCGTACATGCAATCCTTTTCGTCTTCCAGTTCAAAAGTCAAGAACGTCAGGTGCACGTTCATGTTGGCTTTGGCTTCGATGGTCCATTCGCACGTGGCGTCGCTGTCGTAGTTCAGATCGCCGTAGTTGGAATGAGAGTAGAAGTGTTTCACGTTGTTCGTGGCTATCAGCCTACCACCGCAAACTGCGAAAACGATATATTAGAGATTATTTATTATACCCAATGTATTACCCCCCATAACCAGCCATAATATTATCATGGCGATGGCTCGCGCGGTCGTCGATGGTCGTACCCGTGCTGTGAGTGGCCAGAAATCCTTTACGCTGCACAGAAGCGTCGCTTTTGAAGGCCAAGTACAGTTGATTGGACGAGGACACTATGGGGTGTGGGATCTTGGAGCCGCAAAACCGTCCAAGCGTCTGCGAATCCGGGGTGGGCCCGTCGTAGAACGTGATATGATCGTACGCGCACTCTTGGTGAGGTTCCATTTCGAATGTGTCGAAGAGCTATTATATAATCACATATCATCGTCATTAACATCATAATCATCGTCATCGTCACATACGCATACATATATTATATGGTTAACAACACTCCAAAAGATCACGGAAGTCGGGACGACCCTGCGCCCTGTATTTAGGTATAGGTATACATTATAGTATACTATATTATTATGTTATTCGGTTTGACGCTAACGTATGCTGTTATTATTATTATTATTATTGTTGTTATAAATACACCACGACGCGGCGCGATCGTATAAAATAATATAATATAACGACCGTTTTATGTATATTACGATGATAATGATCAGTGCGGGGCCCGGAAATGTACGCGATTTAAAAGCCGCACGCGTTTACTGATGACCTTAAGTACAACTACATTATAACAATAAGTGTGCCATTAAAAATGAAAAATATTGTGAAACGTCGAGTGTATATTTTATTCTTCGTGCGCACTTCAGCTGCAGTCTACCTATTCTATTCGAATACAATATTGTCTGACGTCTGCAATAGTACCTAAAGGGAAGGTTTGTTTCAGCTGTTTAGAATTAGCATTTGAGAAAAGTGTATTTATATAGGTACTTAAATATAATGCTATATGCCCGTTACAAATGAAATACAGCAGATAATTATGGCAGATGACAATATTACTTATTATTATAGTATCATGGCCATATTATATAATATCGATAAGACATAATTCGATATTATAATATTATATGAATGTCTGCCCCGACAGTTGACCAGCAGTTGAAGAGGCACTATAACAGTATAACAATTTTCAAAACGAAGTTTTGTATCTTTTAAATCCTCGATAGCCAGTAGGTAATTTTTTATTAGAAAATATACTAAAATGTACAATCTATACACAAATAATACAATAAGTTATTGTGTTGACATTTTTTAATTAGGCTGGACGGCTTGAGGAAAGGGAGAGTCCATTGACAGTATTTTCAATTTGAACTCAATTTAGTTTGTATTAATGATAATATCACATGACAATTTTAGTATAGAAAGAATGCAAGGAGTTCGTTAATTGGTAGAGTAATCTGTTGGCATTCCATGAGATCATTGAGAGCGGGTGATGGATATTAATATATTATTTTGTCTATTTACCATTGTTAGAATGGGTGAGTTTTTGTACGAGAGAAGTGAGCAAGGAGATCAAATTATGTATACAGTTGTTTGGAAACTATTAAGAATAAGAAAGGATGCAATTTGGTGGGCTAGGGTGTCAGAGTTCGAGGTATCAGTAGGGAGGTCGGAGGTCTAGTCTGACTAGGTCGATCGAACGGTAGGCAAACTAGTCGAAACTAGTCACGAATGAAACGACTTCGTAAACAATTGTGTACACAACAATATAGAAACAATTATCTCTATTATTATTAATATTATTTCAGTAGATTCATTGTTACCACTTTGATCCTGTGACCCGGAGTGGTGGTAAAATGCCAGACGCAATCCTTCCGGCCCGGATACGAGTCCGGGTAGTTGGGGCTGCTGATGACGTCACGCGGTGCCGAAATCTCGTGCTTGCAACCACCCTCCTTGCAGTCGTGCTTGTTCTCGTGCAAAGTAAACCCGTTGTTGCACGTGCACTCGTATGATCCGGGTGTGTTTTTGCACTCGTGTTGGCATCCACCGTTGTTGACGGCGCACTCGTCCATGTCTGTGAACAAGACAACACACAACGCACTTGGTTCAACACACGATATATTTAATTTTGTACTAGGGGGTGGCTATCTAAAACGTATCTTTATTATGATAAAGGAGTTTCCAAATAGTATATGATACACTTTTAAAAGTTGAAAGGGTTGCAAGAGTTGTTTTTTGTAAGTATTTAAAAAAAAAATCATATAAGCACAAAATCGTAATTCGTAAATCAAAATATAATATATTATTTACTTATAAACAATCAAATATGAGTACATAGTTAATATTTATATTATATAAAAAGAGATATAGGCGAGTAAGTAAGAATAAATATCCACAGTTAATGTGGTATTTTAATGATAGGTACAAAATAGTTATGATATCACATGCGTGAATGCATAATGAGTATTACCTATGTAAAAAGTCGTATTATACTAGTGACTATTCGGCAAACCTTCATAAATATATATTAACGTGTGTCGATAAATAATTAATATTATATGAAAACAAATTGTTGTTTAAGTGGTAAAGTGCATAATATTTAAAAATATATATTATGCACATAAACAGTGTACATTTTTTATTACACTCCAAACGGGAGATCGAAATGTTGATATTTTTAAACGCTTATTAAACGAATTTTTCTGGTGGCCTTCTAGTGACACACACTCCTCCCATTTTTAGGAACTTGCTCAATAATTGTAAATTTAATACTAGTCGACTAGTAGATTATAATAGTCGACTTTTTATGGTGATACTAGATTCCAACTGTGCACCTCGGTATTCTGGGTGCACCTCGATAGTAATGAGGGACACCACGGCTCACAAGAAATTATTTTTTTATTTTTTGGTAATAATTTCAAATTAAATCTTATAAAAATAAAAGTCAGGATTTTCGGCTTACCTACACTGCAACTAAAACCAAATGCCTGCCACAAACATCTCCAGTTGATGAAAATAAAATATAAAATATATATAACTTTTCAAAATTTTGCAAACATCATTAGCAGACACATACATCTCATTAGTTACAACTTACAATGTTACATTATATTATAATAATTTTAAAGTTTAAAGTTTTAGCTTATATTATTGTATTATGTTCAAAAAAATAATAAAAATCGATTATCAATGAGTGTTCGTTTATTTTATGTATATTGTTTCTCTTGGTATTCACAGTAGGGCACCGTGGCGGGATTTGGTCCAAAAAAGGGCACCTCCGGAAAAAAGTTTGGAAACCGCTGGTAAGAATAGCACATGCTGTCTTACCGGTAAAGAAGACGGCGGCGAATCCGGTCTTGTGCACGGAGCTGTCCGACTCGAATTCCACGCGCAGTGCATTCGCCTCCGAAGTGATCATGGAAGGCGCTTCCTGGCCGCAGTACACGCCGTGCTTCCGGAGTTTGTCCGAACCGATTTTGCTATATACCTCCACTCGGTCGTATTCGCATTCGGCCTAAGAAGAAAAGAAAAACAAGGTAAACGTCGAGAATAAAATAAGACGAGAATACGTCTCGAGAGTACGCAACAGCTGTATGATACATCAACACGTGGTTATAATATGTTTTTAAGAGAAAGATCTTAAGTCAATTTTGGACATTTTCAGTTTATACATTAATTCTGTGTGAAATTTCAAGCCGCGCTGAATGGTAACACTGTAGATGTCATGTGGGATTTGGTTTAAGAGATAAAATAGAATGCGTAAGGTAATAAGTCGTTATACAGAATTTTTTTTATTTATGAGAAAAGGCCTAAGTCACTTATTATAACTTATTTTAATGACAAAGGGCATAAGTCTTATAAAATGATATGCACTAGGTCTTAAGTCATGATGCGAAAGGGCTCAAGTCAAACTGGTATATGCAATAGGCTTTAAAATTATTAAAATCATTATAATTTGAAGAAAATAAATAAAGACTAAAATATATTTAATAGTAAAATAACAAAACACTTATTAAACATGATTATGAATAAAAAGTTTAAAAACATTAAAAATTTAAAAAGTTATAATGTTTTTTGTGTCTCCTGAAAAGTATCAACTTTTTACTTAAGCCCTTTCTCTTAAAAACCGTCCATATGTGTTGATGACAGCGCACCGCGTACGAACGAACAGTATTAGAAAAGTGGTTTTATTTTTGAATCCATCCGTCGGAAATATATTATTTCCTATGATTTCATACCGCTCACCTGGTGTAGCTGAAAAATACAAAACCAAAATAAAAATAAACATATTAATACGTAGTCCACGAAACCACGATCGACTCTGGTGCGGCTGTATTGACTTACGTTGTTCCCTTCCAGGTCGAAGTGAGTAAAGTTCAGTGTGATTTTGAACTGAATTGGCGCTATGATCTCCCATATGCAACTTTTATTTCCGGGATACAGGTCAGGAAACGAAGGACTTGTAATCGTGCCATTTGTCGCTTCGATTATACCGCCGCAAGCGTCTGGAAACGGTGAAAATACATTATTTTTGTATTACTATTATGTTTGTTATAATTATTTTGTTCATATTATAGTGGAAAAATGACACGGTTCAATATAATCCAGATTTAAGATTTCAAGGCCGGTTTGTCATGACCACGAACATTAGACATTAGTGTAGGTACCTACCTATATTATTGTATTATCATATTAAAATATTATACTATATTAATTATAACCGTACACAAAATACTTTCTCCAGATAAAATAATAATGTAACAGTTTATATTGTGCGTTAGAATAAATAAATACATTTTATTGTTTAATTGTCTGTTGAAATAAAAAAAAAATATATTGTGAAATCGACAATAATTAATGCAATTTTTTTTTACAACTATAATTATTGCTATAACACTACCTATATAATTGTATGCCTATTATTTTAATGACACGAGGGGCAAAGGTTAATAGCGACAGTAAAAATAAATAATATGATTATTTATGTTCCGAGAACAATAATATAAATATTATTTAACGCGTTCGATAAATTGATTTTAATAACACGCGACACGAAAAATTACGGACAAACATATTATTATCACTTATCAGCATTGTATAATGAAACTCAATGGCTATAATAACGATATAATAATATTATAAATATGAAAATATGTCACCGGCACATCACACGAAATATAAATGTACAACTGCTATAACACTATATTATGGTAATTAATAATTATGAATTTAATTATTCGACCAATTAATAAATTTGAATTCATAACGACGGTGATATTATAATATAATTGCTGTTATAATATAATATAGGTACGCATATTATAATGCTATGTGACTCGACACTTGAAATATAAATTCATAAAACGAATCGGTAACAAAATTATGGCCGCTAATGTATTAACTATTTACATTTGTAATAAAATATAAAACCCAATAGAGGTTATAACTGAACTGCATACTCATACACTCATATGTGTCTAGAAACGGCAGCATTTAGCCAATTTGAAAAATAATCAAATGACTTTTGGTGGAAAATACAAATAATATTATAAAAAATATCGAAAAAACACATGGTATATAATATACCATTTTAATAAATAAAATATTTAATAAGTAAAGCTGGGATTTTGATACACTTTGCATTGTTTCCTCAATCAAACTACGCATTGCTCATTTTATAACATACACGTTTCATATATTTTTGAATTAGAATAATAAGTTTATTTATTGCATTTTTAAATTTTTTTAGAGCAATTTTGGATCTTTGAGTAATTTTTGAAGTTTTTAAATAAAAAATTTGTATTTCAATTCGTATTTTTAGATTCATACATGCTTTTACATGATTTGTCTGAACTCTATACATTTAAAAACTATATAACTATGTAGGTGCGGTAAATAAAAATATGATTTAGAGCTATGATAAAAAAAAAAATATATCGAAATAATTGTTTTTCTAGATTAAAGAAGTCCAATACCATAGGTAAAGTTTGTAAAACTTTTTTACAGTCCTTTAAACTAATATTATTATTTATACTAAATTTATATAAAAATTAAATTATCAAAAATATAAATTATTTAATGAAAATTAATTTTATTAGTGCATTATTCAGAATTTTTAGGGCATTAAATAATTGTTTTTTATGATGGGCATTAAAATTTGGTTTAAGTGCTGGGGCACGGGTGAAGTTGGCCCCTCATTATGAAACCAGTTTTGGTTACAAATAGTTACAAATTAAAAAAATCCGGTTACAAATATTTTGAAAGTTTTTTAGTAAAGTGGGGGGCTTACTACACACACGTCATTCAAATTCCAGCTTACCACACCAGCTGTGTACAGTGGCATCTCATTATGGTATTAGGATATTATATATATATATATTATATCATGTAGGTACCTTCAGATACATGTAGCGCAGAATATATAACGTTCCAACAGTCTTTTCGAATTACATAATATGCCATATGCAGTATATAAAAATTAAAATAAACAATTTAGTTTTAAAGTTGAAAACGAGATGTGGCCCGAGGACGGAAATAATATGTGTTAAAATAAATTATATTTAAATTTAGTAACTACTAGGGATAGGATGTTGATGACTTTTGAATTTTTTTTAGATTTTAATGTCATTTTTTTAGATTTTTAGAAAAATTATCATATACATATAGATATTTTTTTGTAGCGAATAATGCGAAAGCAGTTCCCGCGGAGCCATCGGTTCAAAAATAAAATAAAAAAAGATGGGCAAGTGGGTGTCCCTCTCCTGTACAGTAGGTTACAAGTGGGTCACTGCATAATGGATGGTATTACATTTGAATTCAATGGTATTATATCATTGTATAAGAAAAACGATTCTGAGCGGAGACGGTATGTCCTTCTAGGTATAAGACATATTATATAATTATCTATGGTATTAAAAAAAATTGACCCATAATGAATTCCAAATTAATCATATCACAATATCCATTATAGGTACTGATAATGAGTTATACACTTATACACCAACAAAAAACCCTGATACTATCATAGATATATAGTAGTATACTTTAGAAGTTTCAAGTACCTACCCACGAATAATATTATACAATCACAACAAAATAACTACTAAAATAGTTATCCTAGGTTTCTTATTATGTAATTTCGTCCAAATTTGAATTTAAAATGTCTGTCAAAAATAACTGTGTTCATATATTTTTAGATTTTTTGGTTACAGTATGAACTATTTATGAGAACCTTTGCTTTAAATTTTCAATTCTTAGCTATAAAAACTGAATATTTTATAATATTTATTAATTACAATGATTGATAATTTTGATAAATTTTGTCAAAATTCGATCTTTAAATGCTTAAAAAAAAATTGTGGGTATGTGTTTTTAATATTTTTCAATTCCTATTTTAACAATATATCAGGAGCCTTGTATTACATTTTTACACTTTTTGGCCCAACAGATAAAACTTTATTTATAGAAAAAAAAACTAAAAAAAACTGAAAGCGGTAAATGTCCGTAAGCAGCTAAAAAAGAGTCAAAATATTTTCAAAATTGTATGGTGTATAAGAAATGCTAATATAAACATTCCGTGAAATTGTCATGTATCTACAGTTATTCGTTTTTGAATTACAACAAAATAAGGAAATCGCTACATGAGAAATCGAGTGAATATCCAATATTGTAAAAATTTGAATTTCAAACGCTCATAACAATTTAATTTGACTTTCTAATAGACATTTTTTTTTTTTGAAAAAGGTAGATAATCTTATAAGGAATCTTGTAATAGATTTTAAAATCTTAGATTTAAAAAGAAAATTTTTACGAATTCTTAACTCAAAATAATTTGGTAATTTTCGTGATATTTCCATATTTTGTCAACTTTTGAACTTTAAATGCTTATAAAAATAAACTGTGACCAAGGATTTTTTATGTTTTTCATCTGCCTCTGAAAAAATATATTAGGAGCCTTCTATTTAATTTTCAAGCTTTTTTACTAACAAATAAAATTTGATTGGTATTTTTAGAAAAAAAACTAAAAAAAATGGAAATGAAAATGTACATAAACAGTTCAAAATAAATCAAAATATTTTGAAAATCTTATCGTATATAGAAAATGAAAATATAAACAACCAGTGAAAATTTCATGTATCTAGGGTAATTTTTTTTTAAAGTTACACCAAAAACTAAATTCAATTTTGTGAAAAATCGATTTTGCGTAAAAATTCCCGTTTTTCCTTAATTTTTCTTTGGTTTTTCTTGGCGCTTTTGAAAATTACTGGGAATTTTAAATTTTGACCTCCCCTATGCACCAACGATATTCACTTTTCAATCGAATAAGATATTGAAGTTGAAAATTGAAGCATTATTTCGACTACTTATCGTGTACACAGACACAAACAAAATAAAAAAATAAAAAAAGCACACATCATTTTAAAATCAATACATTCATCGTTCCACTCAAAATCTAAAAGTATTATTTTGTACAATGTGGCGCATTTTTATCTAATTTTGAATTTTAAAAAAATTTGTTCAAAAGTTTATTTATTATTATGGGTGGGTTTTTGTTTTAACTAAATTTATCATCTACCGATGCAGATTTAAATAATTAATATAATAAAATTAAATTAATGTAGTAATTTCATATATATATTTTTTTACTGTAAATTAAGCCTAAAATTTAAATGTTTACTACTTTTTGTTTACAAATATTTTTCAGGTAATTTTTGATACTCTTTTATTTATCTCTAGTAATTATTAATTAGACAATTGCGTAATTGTTTGTTCACTCGAGTTCGCAATGGTGTGGGCTAAAAATTCAATAGGACTCATGAGTCACTAGTTTGCTCAACTTAGTGGTGGATCCAGGAATTGATTTTGGGAGGGGCATCCGAATTACCGAAATATGTATTGACCTTATTTGTCCGTTTAAAATAATAATAAACTCTAAGAAATTAAAATGACTTTTCGTGTTTGTATTAGAACTTTTTCGTCCATCTCTGTTATTTTACCTGTCAGTCCAAGTGGTGTCTTACATAATCGTATTTTTGTATTTATTTGCTCGTAGTGTTTTATATATGTCAACTTTTTACATCGGAGAAGATTGCTCGAAAAGTTTTCTATTTATTCTACATTGATTGAAAATTCCACATAAGTTGAACCTGTAGCGTTCCTGAACAGTTGCAGGCAATTGGCAGAATTAACTCAAGGAGATATTTTATCATGTAATACTAATTTTATATGGATTGCAGTACAATTTTATAAACATTTTCGTGGTTATAAATAATTTATCGTGTCTATAAACTTCTTAATGATAATTCATTTAATCTGATTTCCCTGAAACTTTTTCAGATGACGTATTTGGTATTTTATATGGTCGGCACTTTGTATATAAAACATAAAACTTAAATGATCTTAACAAAAAAAAGTAGGTTAGGTACATGGTAAACTTTTTGTTAGCAAAAATATATTTTACATTTCTGAAAAATGTTTTAAAATGAGTAAGTACTTATAGTCATGAAGAAGCAGAGAAAGCTTGAATTTTTGAATTTCTTTTAAGTAGCTTAAAGAGTAAAATAATTATACGGATTGAAACTTGAAATACTGCAAAAGCTTGGTAAACAAAAATATACAAAGAATGGTTTTCATATTCAAATTATTAGTTTCTTTAAGAAAAAATTGTAAGTACTTTTTGAAAATTTTTCTTTTGCAAAATAAATAAACTTGTCAATATTAAGTATTAAAAAAAATATATATAATATAATATATTATACCAAATAAACACCTATAAGCGCCAATGGTTTTCGCCTTAATACAATATAAAAATCTATCAATATTTTGTTATTATAATATACAAAACTTGTGTATGTAGTATTATAACAGTAGTCACTTGATAATTCGAAAAACTCCATAAAGCGAACTAAACGCTGAGTCGCCTGAGAAAACCGCTAAAATTAGAAGAAAATACATGAATTCCCGTCCCCTCGATAATTCGAAATGTCTATCGGTGGGATACACTCTACAATTTGAATTTTTTCCACGAACCTCTATAATTCGGATTTCCTTAAACGCGATTATATGTAAGTTCATATTTATATACATATAACGATTATGTACAATCTATTCGAACACTCGGTAAATCGAATTTTTAACTCGGTCTACTGAATTTCGAGTTAATGAGTGACTAATGTATTAATCTTTATACATACAATAATATGTTTTTAGTGGGGACGGAGTGGCCTGTTCGAACTCGACCAAAGGTGGCATTTTTCTTCGGGCAGTCACTGTGTGGCAGGGTAAATACCTACGGGTGCACACTTAAAAATTCTGCCAAAACAAAACACACACGTGTTCAAAACCTACAGAACCCTCCCCCACAGTTCCACAGGCTAATGACCTCAACTGTCGAAGGCTCAACCCAAAAAAATGTATATTATATATAATATATGAATATATGTTTTTAACAATCGGATATTATTATTAAAAAAAAAAATACGTCAGGGATTATATTAGTATGTAGGTAGTTGATGTATTGTTGTTTCTAACGCGATCTGTTGATCTAAATCATTCTCGAGATGGCTTAATGCAATTATTTTATGAAAAAAAAAATCATCATCAATTTAATTTTTAAATTACTATTGCTGTGAATCTTACTCAAGTTAAAGTAAATTAATTCCATACTAACAATTAATGAAATAAAATATAAACCATTTTATGTTCATTTATTTTACTCGGTCTAACTTAACGTCTCAAATTAATTCGGCCAAACTAAAGCGGATTTAATAAAACACGAAACTAAAACTTAATGGTATATTGTTTTGGATTGTTTTCATTAAATTTTTTAACTTGAATTAACGTTTATTATACCGTGTTTAATGTGAACACACAAACATTATTTTACATCGCAAATATACAAAAAACAATAAATACCGCACTACACCCTATTTAGGTATAACACGTCTTATGCCAACGCCAAAAGTCTTATAATAAATTCTACTCCTTTTATACTTTTCGACATTTACATTATTGTGTGACGTATAAGTCATGTTACTTGCAGGATTTTTCCAAACTCGTTTAATATAGTATACAGCACAAATGTTTTATTTAATGAACCATAATATATCAATTTAATAATATTATAACATAAGAATATTACTCGTATTATAAATGGTTTTTTTTTTTTTTTTGCTGCATGTTATGATTTTGATTTTTCAATAGAAACTCTTACGTCTATTTTGTAATAATATATCATACTTTGATAAGGCCTTTGAAGTGTGATGTATGCCCGAGTGAACTTTATACGGATTTAGACGTAGAAAATCATTAAAATGTTGTATTTAGGGCTTTTATCACACAAATAGTATTCTGAAAACTGCAACTCAAAATTATTTATGAGTGACATTGTGCATAACTTAATATTGTGTCATATTTATGCCGTCCAAAAGCGTTTCAGCTAAATAAATTATTTTTTGATAACAGTTTTCATAAAAAAGTATACTACGTGAGTAATATATTTATCACGCCCAAATAAAGTTAAAATATATAGCTTTTTGTTATAAAAAAAGGGTTTTTTTTTTGTCGGTACGTTTTAAAGAGATTCTATAGATCAAATAGTAAATAGATAATATAGGTACCTATATCTTAATTCACTCATTGCGGTTAGCTCCTGTTCTTATTTTTTAAATTTTCTACTCGCTATCACGTTTTGAATTTTTCGATCAATCGTCTCAAACGATCAAGTTATTTTGTTATTCATTCGAGTTTTAAACGCACACGGAAACCACCCGGGCAATCGTGAAAAATATAAAATATTACCGTCACGAGACTAGTCAAATATAACCAAATATAATTAAATAATATTATAATATTAATGCCTTTAAATGATAAATTCCTGTGATTCGTGAGCTTCCGATAAATATTAAATTGGCCGACCGGACGTCATTCTACGCGCACATGCTGTCATATTGCATAATCAAAACGCCGTGCTATCGGCGACTATTTCATGATGGATGATGATTATATAATATTATATTATTATCATAATAGTATATACTATACGATATGAAGTTTCTATTTAAATCCCCTGTCGAGGCTACCCCCCCCCCCCACCAAATCGTCGTGTTTCTATAATATTTTTATTTATTTATTATATTTTTGAAAAAATACACGGATATTAATTAACCACTATCATTATTGAAAAGCATAAACAAAAGAACAATATAATATTATCATTGATTGATTATAGGACATAGGTTACATAGAATAAATTAATATATTATTATTACTAATTTATATTTTAATCAATGATATTATGTTGGTACAAAACGTGAAATTAACGTGGTTTTAGAAAAAAAGTCGTTCATTAACTTTTTTTTCGTATATTTTTAAAACTTAATTATGAAATCGGGACGCGGGTTCCACCGAGTGAATTTTATTTATACAGTTCTCACAAATTTAGTCGACCTCGTGAAAATTAATTATAACCGTCATAATGTTTGCACTGATACCGATCATCTAGGTTAGTTTAGACTTTTTTCATTTCCCGTTTCATTATCTGACAGAACAAAATAACAAATTTTTTCATGTCCCAATAAACTGAGAATTTTTATGAGATTATATGCTATATATATAGTATATACAATATGCATAATACAGATACCGTACATTTAGGCTTTGGGAGAATATGGCCCTAGGGTGGAAATAATTATTCAGTAGCGACAATTATTAATAAAGAACGACAAAAAAGGAAGATTATTTGGAAAAGTCGAGATGACGGTAAATCCAAAATCTGCATAACCGTCAAAGTTACTATAGTTCACTAATAAAAAGGCCCGGTAAATAATTATTTATCTGAGAGGAGAAGTTGAATATTTTATAAATTTGGATTCAGCAGCGTTTATGACGTAATAACCACGAATGATGTCTGCCGCAAATCGACGAGGTAATCTCGAATCCATTTCAAAATCTTACTGGTGAATGTCTCCCTGTTCCCACTCACTTATAAACACGCACATTGCACAAGGTGGATAAAGTGTTTTCGTAAATGAGCAGAACGCGGTGAGATGATCACAAAAATAAAACGATATTGAAAAAAAGAAATCCCGTCGGCTTACCACCACTTCGATCGGTACATGTACAATATTATTGTAGTCAAACCGTTCGTTTTTGGAATTCCGTCTTTCACGGCTTTCAAACGAATGACTAACGGGTCCGATATTGAATGTAATATATTATATAGAAATACGAGATACGAAATAATATTATATAATATCAAACATCTATCTTCGTCTATAATATTAACATCTAAAATACGTACCTTCGCAGTGTTTGTTGTCAGAATGTAGTTCAAAGCCCACCTTACAGGCGCAATCATATCCGCCCAGAGTGTTGATGCAGAACTGCTCGCATCCGTGGTCGACCGATGTGCATTCGTCGTACTCTGCAGCGTCAACGGGATGGGGTAAACAAATAAAACCGTAATTGGATTAGTTTAACAATAATATTACCTATTTTAACAATGATTGAGTAGGCTATCATACTATGACAGCTCGAAACGTAATTATTACGCACAACACCCACATCGAAACACTATTTATTTTTTATCACTATACCTAGTGATAGGTGTACACAGAAATTAGTAATACATATAGATGACTTAAGCAATTTTCTATGGAACACTGAATGGTACGATGTTACGGAAAACAAATTGGGGGAATATGCAGGGTGATTTTTTAGCATGTTCACCGACATATTTTACATTTACAGTCCATTTATTCAAACTATGATTCTTACTAAATATTATTTAACGATTTTCTTAAAAATTTTGAACTAGATATCTAAATCAAAACTCTAATGAGAAGTTTCTGAGGTATTAAAATGTTTATATACTAAGGATAATAATCCTTAAAAATGGTTTTATAAAAATATCGACTTTATTATGTAATATTAGATGTAGTCTTTTTATACTTGAATTATTTTTACAAATTATGTACAATATTGATAAATCAATACTAATTACTACATTTTTGAAATCGTCTAAGCCCCAATCTCATTAACCCATTACTGCCATAGACATAGAACACAAAGTTATATACCTCAAAAACTACTCGTTTGAATTTTGATTTAAATACATCAAAATACTAAAAAAAAATATCTGCTTGATTATTAAAGATGAAAGGAGGGGGGGGGTTCCTATTTGAAAATCAGAAGCTTGTATCATAAGATCGTTAAGTGGTACAAAAATCTCAAGGATTCGAAAATGTTATGGTCTATACGTGTATTTAAAAATTCCAAGAATCAGAACTTGCAGAATATATACATAATTTAAGCATAAACATAGGGTGTGCATGTTGAAAAAATCCCCTTCTCTAACACTCAAGTGAATCCTGGCCGAACTACAATGGTTTGAATCCTATAAACTATTAGTAAGAAGTCGCACTAAAAAACGACTCATGATTGATGACGTGAAGATCTCACATGTGTACACCAGCTGATGAAAAAGACTTAACCTTCATCATGTCCAATACAACATGCGATACTAAACTTTCAGTTAAGCACAGTATTGTCGTAAACTGTGGAAATAGTTCACGGAGGCCAGAAACGAATACACCATTTCAGACAATCCTTACGAAGCTATATTATATTGGATCTTTTTCAGATGTCAAATCAGTATAATCTCTTACTTGAAAAAATATGCTTTGGTATACCACACGTTAAACCTATTTGTAAGTTAATATATTATGGCCTTAAAGTTGATGATCAAAAAATTATAATATTTTTTTCAAAAACCCCGCACGCACGAAACGTCACCGCAGTACAGCATTTGTATATATTATTAAATAATATATAATTGTTCACGATAACGGAGGAGAAAAATAACAAGCGGGTGCCGGCGAACCAGCCAAACGAATGTTCTTCCCCCGTAAAGTATATTATATTACATATTTTTTAATAAAACGTTTTATGGCCCTGTTTTTATTGTTTTCGTGTTCTGCTATTATAATGGTGTATTTTTTAATTTACAAATGAAATCAAAACACTCAGTTTTTTAATTATCGTTTCGAAATATTCGTTAAACATATAATATTATGATAAAATGTGTACACAAAATTTGCGAAAAACATAATATTATAGTCTTACATTGTTTTTTTCTTTTCTTTATATCAATATTTTAATATGCAATAATACGGACGTCAAATATATCAATTTTATATTATCATTTATAAACGTTTATAATAAAAAAAAAAAAACATCTAAAAAACACTTTTAAACTTGACTATACAAGGTGATTATTCTAAAATTGATTACTCATTACTCATTGTCACGAAAAGTTTTGACGTTTTTACAAATAATATTTTCAGATAATTTGAATACATGCGGACTATTTTTCATTTCCGTTTAATTTGACCTAACAATTAGCGGGAAATCTTTAGTTGACCGATAGGTACAGTAAACAAATATTCCAATTTCGGGCTTCACTCGTCACTCTTGAAATGTTTTGAGTAAAGCGGTAAAATTAAAATTGTATTATCGAATTTTTATACATGCATAACATAAAGGTATATTAAAATTAAAAATACCCCATAAGCTATATCAGGACATGGCCATTAGCGTTTACAATGATTAAATCAATACATTACCGTTAAAAGCAAAATAATTAAATTATATTATTGATTAAAGTAAAATTAATATCAACAGCACTATAGCAATGAATATTCTACTTTGAAAATTATTTCACTCTTTGTCTGAAATGAGAACTATAAAGAAGCATTATTCAGTATTATTCACTGGACGTTAAATAATATAATATATACTTTATAAAATGTAATCCAAGTGTTCTCAAAGAAATGTTAAGAATTTTTTTTTATATTATCGTTTTTTTTTTTATAAAAATGGAACTTTTTTCAAACGAGATATAATGTTTTCAATTTAAATCAAATGAAGGAAATCTGAAATAAAAACCACAAATTATGTTTTTTGTAAAAGAATTAATATGTTTGTAAACTAAACTTGTCCAGTAAAATGTTTTTATAGAAACTATTCTAAAACTAACTAGAAACATTTTACTAATTAAAACATATTATTTACGTGGCAAATTATAAATATTATAAATTAGCTAACGTACCTAACATTTTAGACCGTAAAATATTGAAATATTATAATTAAAACATCTATTTTTACGAAATAAATAATGTTACCTATATAATATTAGATACTATTATTATAATATAATAGGATAATTAGTTACTACCTAAATCCTATACAATATACAGTATTATAATACTTGTAGTTCAAAATAAGAGAGGAAAAGGCAAGAAAGAGGGTAAGTATTGGGAAACTGTGACATTTGTTACCATAAAGGCTTTACCGAAATAGACAAATATACTCACCTATCAGTTACAAATAAAAAATATAATCTCCCTGGAACCCAATTTCCGTTTTTTCTATGGTTTTTCAACAATGGGTATACGATTTTCTTCGGAAAACGCCTTTTTGAGCAGAAAAAGATCCTAAAAGGCTTAAGGCGACTATTCATATGTATGTAGAATAATATATAGATAGGCAGACAGATCACAAAGTAGAAGATACATAGGTACACATGTATCAGAAATGGAACACAAATTTTAAAAGAGTGATGATTTTTGTGACGAAAAACTGCAACAGTGTTATTTCTGGGACATCTCAAAAAAGACTGCCTAACGAATGTATTGAGTGCCAGTTTATTAACAGACTAATTAATCCAACTAATGATCAAAATCGTTAACTGGAATGTAATTAGGTATAATGATTCTCACTCGCTTTTTTTTTTAATAGAACACACACAGTTCGACGTCCACGCTATATAGGACCGTCCCACCCGTAGTAATCCCTGTTTTCTTTTTTAATTTTGCATTAATCCATTCAAAATTGTAGCTGGTAATGCCTATAATATATTACGGACCGTAATTTTTAAGCATATCATATTATTATAGTGTAGGTGCGTGTATCATAATGTATACGATACGCACACGGAGTAAAGCAGACACATTTATATATTTTTAACCCGATTATGTTTACGATCCGTTTGGAAGGTGAACATTTTTTTTTAAACGAAACGAAACGAAAAAGGTCTCGACCGACAAACGTATATATTTAGTATTTACATTTTACAGTACACATACCTTTCATAAATGTAGCGGAAAATCCGGCCTTCTGCACCGAGCTGTCCGACAGAAATTTTACGTACAGTTTGTTCGTGCTCGAATGGACGTCCAAGGGTAGCTTGTAGCCGCAATACTTGTTTATCAAAGGGCTGTCGGCCGAGTGTCCGTTTCTGATCTCCACGTAATCGTAGAAGCAGTTGTCGTGGTTTTCGATCTGTGTCGGATTAAAATGTAATTATTATACACACACATAACATAATATAACCGCACGTCCTGTACAAGACTGGCACAAGTGCACAACTCAAAGTCTCAAAATGTACTGCAAGCAGCGTATATAGTATTGAACAAAAACGATATGAAATTTAGAACTAGGATATTTTAAAGAGTTCTTTATACCGATGCATTTCAAATTGAACATTTAAATACTAATAACTAATAAGTAATAAACATATTATACTTTATAATAACTATGACTTCATTAAATATTATGAAATACTCTTAAAACTCAAAAAGTTAAACTCATGGATTTTTTAAACATTTTTTATGTCAATTCAAGACAGCCGTTTATTGGGACGTGTCAGTAAAAAATTTCTATTTTAAAATACAAGGCTGATGTTTTTCATATTACGGCTGCAATATCACAAATTATGAAATGCGATACCACAATATTAAACGCAGTTGTTTTCCACTCAACGCATCACACGAATATGAGTTTTTATTTAGCGCAAGACACCACAAATCAAAATAAGGCAGTCTTGAAAATTAACTTTGGCTATTAATAATAATTGGATGAACTAAATAACATATTATATTGTAATATATGTACTGCCATATAAGGTAAATACAGATATGTTGCTATAAAAATTATCTAAAAATCGAATAATTAATAAAATACCTATTGGCAGTTACCACATCTTTTTAGAGGAGAAATTAAAAATGATAACATTGAATGTGGAGTTCTCTTGTAGCGCATTCTATAAAGCTAGGTACATTTTTACTATTTCAAAGTAGTCATTACTCAAAATCAATTAACTTTGAGGTGTGGCAATCTTGTTCTAGAGGTGTGAATTATATAATATTATATTATATTATAAAATAATTATAATAGTAATAATATGATCGATATCGTCAAAATATCCGACCCTGCGTGAACAATATACGCCTGTAATAATAATGCATCTGCTCCGCATAATCATCCAATTACTGAACAAGTAATGGGGTGTACGGAAAGAACCTCTACGCGGTACACCCTAGGCAACGATTTAGTGATTCTATCACTAAACGGCTAATCTTTCCACCACGGGGCACAGGTCTCATAGACCAAACATGATAAATACCAATTCAAAGTCAACTACAAAAAGGCCCTTTTCAGGGCCAGCCCTGACGATAACCTCGATAAATATCGAGGGTTTGACTAGTGACAAAGAAATACTTCTAGAAAACATATGTAAAGAAACACTATGTGATATTATATGTATCCAGGAAACACATAGAGGCAAAGACCGGAATAAACCAAAAATCCGAGGGATGAAATTGGTAGCTGAAATACCACATGACAAACATGGTAGTGCTATTTTCACTAAACCTTTGTTGGAAATAAAGTCATCAGATGTAATAAATGTTGAAGGAATAGAAATTTTAACGATAGAACTAACTAAGTGCACAGTTACATCAGTATACAAACCACCAAATATTCCATTTACTTTCCATAAGCCTGACAATTTTAACAATTCAAGAATAAAAATAATTATTGGCGATTTCAATAGCCATCACACAGAATGGGGATATGAAAATACAAATGATGATGGAGAACGAGTTGAACAATGGGCAGATGGAAACCAATTATCGATCATACATGACTCCAAGCTGCCTCCATCCTTAGATCACAAACCTTGCACCATCCACGGAAAACTACGAGGCTTTTGTGAATATAGTTAAAAGAGTATCGAGAAAACATATTCCAAGGGGCTGCAGAACAGAATATATAACGGGTCTTTCCTCAGAGCTAACAGAACACATGCGTGCATACACAGAAATGTATGAGAAGGACCCTTTTGGATATGAAACCATAAATAAAGGTGAATTTTTGCTAGAAGCAATAGGTACAGAAAGGAGAGCAAATTGGATAAATTTAGTAGAAAGCATTGATATGAAACACAGTAGCCAAAAAGCATGGGGCTTAATGAAGAAACTAAATAACGATCCAATGCAAAGGAATTCACAGAACTTAACCACACCAGATCAAATCGCACACCAACTTCTCTTAAACGGAAAAGGTCAGAGGGAAACAAACCAAAAGAGAACCCAGAAAAAACACACGACTGAAAATGAAGAATGTGGACATTTTAAAGAGCAATTCAATATAGAAGAATTAAACGAAGCCATTAAGATGCTTAAAAATAGGAAAGCCGCTGGACTGGATGATATATGTGTAGAACAAATTAAAGAATTCGGTCCTAAGACCAAACAATGGATACTAGAGCTATTCAATGAAATCAGATCTACCTACAAACTGCCAAAAATTTGGAGAAAAGCTCACATAATAGCCCTTTTGAAACCAGGTAAAGAACCAACAAGCCCCAAAAATTTCCGGCCGGTATCACTTCTATGTCACTTATATAAAGCCTTCGAAAGAATGGTTCACAACCGTATAGTTAGACATATTGACGAAAAATTGATACAGGAACAAGCAGGATTCAGGAAAGGTAAATCATGCACAGGGCAAATACTAAATATGACCCAGTTTATTGAAAATGGATTTGAAAAGAAAAATATCACTGGAGTAGCCCTTATAGACCTGACAGCAGCCTATGATACGGTAAGCCATAGGATTTTATTAGACAAAGTCTACAAACTAACTAAAGACAAAGGTTTTATGCAGATAATAAAGGCACTACTCCAACATAGAAGATTTTACGTAACTCTAGGAAACAACAAAAGTAGATGGAGAAGACAAAAAAATGGTCTTCCACAAGGCAGTGTGCTGGCCCCAATCCTATTCAATATCTATACGAACGATCAACCGATCACTCCAGGCGCCAGGCACTTTATCTACGCCGATGACACAGCGATAGCAGTTCAAGATAACAACTTTGAAGGAGTAGAATCTAAATTAGAGGCCTCACTTAAAACTATGACAAAATATTACCAAAACATGAAACTGAAACCTAACCCGACGAAAACTCAAATATGTGCGTTCCATCTGAAGAACAAACTAGCGTCTAGAAAGCTGGACATCACCTGGGAAGGAGTTAAGTTAGAACACACAACCCATCCTAAATATTTAGGCGTTACCCTTGATAGATCACTCAATTTTAAAGAACACTGTGTTGCCTTGAAACGGAAAATATGCACTAGAAACACTCTATTGCGAAAATTGGTTAGCTCAAAGTGGGGAGCTCAACCCGAAACAGTTAGAATCTCGGCACTAGCTCTATGTTTCTCGGTGGCTGAATATGCATGCCCGGTGTGGGGAAGATCAACACACACTAAACAAATTGATACTGCTTTAAATGAAACGGTTCGCATTATAACAGGATGCTTAAAGCCAACACCAGTAGACAAATTATACCTTCTAGCAGGAATAGCTCCGCCACATATACGTAGACAAATTGCAAGTGACATAGAACGGACGAAACAGATCACGGATGAAAGGCACCCGATGTATAACACACAAGTGGAAGGATTCCGACTAAAATCAAGAAAGAGCTTTCTAAAATGTACTAAGAAATTAGAAGATGACCCACAGACATCAAGATTAAAGTTATGGGAGGTAGAGAGCAAGCAAAAAGTTGAAGAGAAGTTACCCCCGGGACATAACAATAAATGGATGGTCTGGAGAACACTAAATCACCTACGTACAGGAGTCGGTCGTTCGAGGGAGAACCTAAAAAAATGGGGAATAAGCAACGAGAATGAAGACATGAGCTGTATATGCAGAGAAGTCCAGACAATGTCGCACCTCCTAAACTGCAATGAATGTCCAATCAAATGTAACGTAACAGACTTACAAGACGCAAATAGCAAGGCTATAAAGTTGGCAGAATTTTGGAGCGATAAAATTTAAAAATTTGAAAAAACAACTCATACGTTACCTTTTAGAACCACCCATTGTTACCATTAATATAATTACCATTATTTACTAAGTACATTATTCCATATTATGTTATTTTATTTTATTTTATGTATACCAGTTGATTTTTTGACTAATTGACTAATTGATATTATGTTTTGTTATTTATAGTTTAAATGTAAGGATGTTTACCTATATATTTAATTACCTGTAAAATGACCTGTCATAACCCCGACTCGTAAAAAAAAAAAAACTGAACAAGTTTTCAGGAGGGCACACAGCAGTTTATTTATATATTATACGCGTATACCTGTATAGATATATAGGTAATAATAATAATAGGAAACCATAGTGTTGGGTACCTATTGATTGCGTACGAGAATTCAACGTTGTATGGAAACCCTTTGATTAGATTCGTTGTATAGTTAATCGGAATAAAAGAAGTTGCACGATTAATTATTAATTCATTATTAATTTAACATTAAACTCGTGGAACAGTGGAAGACATGATAATAAGTAATAACTCCCTCGAATATACCTTTAGATATTATATTTTTCCGTCAATAGCCACTAAGCAGCAGTGTCGGACTTATCTAGATACATTTATCTTGATGAATATCTAGATAATTATTTGTTCATCTTTTATCTTATCTAGATAAATAGTTACAAGGTACCTATCTAAACGTTTATCTTAGATAATTTTTTTACTAATCTAAATAAATTCTTTAATGATAAAAATCGTGAAATTGTACAAACGCATTTTTAAATATTTATACAGATTCTCAAACAAAGTTTATGGTTTATTAATAATGTAATTATTTTTATTTATATCATTATTATTATTATATTCCTAGAGCCCAACTAAAATATACCTAAATTTAAAACCATTTAAAAGTAATTGTATCTTTTTTTTATCTAGATAAAAAAATACTTATGCTAGATAGTATACTATCGATATTTATTAGATATTTCTATTAGAGATTTAGGTATGTTGTTGGACCATAATATGGCATTGTCTTTACACATTAATTCAAGACGTGTTAATAAGGTTTTTGGAATGTTAGGGTTTATAAAAATAATTACAATATGATGTTTTTAGAATATTACAGCTTTGAAAAAATTATACTTTTCTCTTGTGACCTGCTAGATTAACTTTGAGTTGGGGTCAGAAGTTTGATCACTAAATTAAACTATATATATATATATTTAAATTGGCCGATTTCCAGGAATTAATAAAACTTATAAGTTTCCATACTAGAAATTACGTGAGTTGAGGAGGAAAGTTTCCGACGTCATGTTTGTATACGGTCTATTGAATGGCAATATTGACTCTCCCAAATTACTATTAATGATTGGTTTAAATTAAAAGGTATCACAGCCTAAGGAAAAATAATTAGTTTCATGTTCCGTTTAGTAATAATAATTATAGTTCCGAATCTTTTTACCCAAGGGTCCTTTTACTAGCGATCCAAATTTCGGTTTGTATTGATCTTTTCTTTATGTCACGTAATATTATGAAGTAAAATATATTTTTGGCTACCTACTAAAGTACCTACTAAACAAATAACATTTTTTTAGGTATTTTATTTATATTTAATATGTCTACTTTCTATATCATTTGTTAGTAGGTATTGTTATATATTTTGTTGACGCGTATATTTTATCTGCCATTGTAAACCGGACTTTGTCGTATTATCGCTCGCGATAGTGAGCACTATGTAATGTCTAATAACATAAGAAGTCTAGTGTCAGTATGCGTTCGACTGCTAATCGCCACGTAAATAAATATATATTAATACCAAATAAACCAACTGTATTATAATATTCTTACACTAAAACAAATCTCATACAGTCCACAAATTAAAATTCGTAATTTAACATTGGTCCTTCAACCAGGATAAAAGGAATCGGCGATATTCGTGAATGGCAGTCAAAATTAAAATTCGCACAGTATTTATTAAAGATAAAACGTGTGTAAAATAAGTGCGTGCGTGAAATATTCAAATAAAATTAATCAACCGTTAATCCATTCGTATATCAGAATAACGGTAAGGTTGTCGCGGAAGGAGAACAATATTGGACATACCAATCCAACTTCAAAGGAGGAAAAATCTGGTAAGTCGTGTCCATAATATTATCTTAAATCCACTCCTTCCTAAAATAAACTAATTAAAAAAAAAAAAAAAAATAATATAATATAATATAAGTCTGGGGGACATGCCCGAGTTAGGTGCCTTGAAATCCCGTAGAGGCCAATTAAAGGCCAAGCTAACAAGATTTATAAATCACCTGTCAAATGTTGACAAAAATGTGGAAATAAATCGGACAGAATTGAGGTGCCGTCGGGAAAAGAACGAGGATGTTTGGCAAGAGTTTGAACAGGTACAAAGTGCAATCGAGCTGTTACTGAATGATGAAGAAGATGAAGAAACAACGAACTACCGCGTGGAATTCGAGGATGCATATTTTAATGCCATTTCATTATGCGATGATTTAATGTATGACAGAAATAATGAGCAAATCGAAAGTCAAGGTAACGCCGACGTTATGCGTAATAGTAACATGCTTGTTCCGGCTCCACAGATGACGGCAAGTAGTGGTGGGGGATTTTGTTGCAATAATTCCAATGCACCAATACAACTAGCGGCGATAAGTCTACCGACATTTTCAGGTATATATAGTGAATGGCCTACATATTACGATATTTTTGGAGTAATGGTACACAAAAATGATCGAATAAGCGACATTCAACGGTTTTTCCATTTGCGCGCATCGTTATCGGGTGAAGCGGCTCAAGTCATACAAGGCATAGAGACGACCGCCGCCAATTACAGTATCGCTTGGGAAAGTTTGATTGCCAGGTATAACAATAAAAAGGTGCTTATTCAATCACATACTAGAGGCTTGTACGAATTATCAGTGATAAACGAAGAATCCAAACAATTACGAAAATTAATTGATAAATTAAATTGTCATATCAACGCTTTGGAGTCCTCGGGAGAAAATCCTCGTGGGTGGGGATCCATGTTAATTCATTTAATTACGAGCAAATTAGATATTAGCACCATAAAAGCATGGGAAACAATTGCACCGAAAGACGAAATACCACCAATTCAAGTACTGATACAATTTTTAGAAAAACGTTTTAAAATAGTAGAAGCTGTTGAATCGGTATCACAAATGAATATCAAAGAAAGCTCGGATTCGAAGGGAAATAAGAAAATCAATAAAGGTTATCCCAAGGAGAAAACGTATTATTCATTCGCGGCTACCGATATGACCAAATGTTACAATTGTAATTTACCACATACTATTTATAAGTGCCCTGCATTCCTAGCATTATCAGTACCCGACAGAATAAATAAAGTAAATGCACTAAAGTTGTGCAAAATATGTATGCGTCCACACAATGACAAAAAATGTCTTGGTAAAAAATGTTTCAAGTGCCATAAAGCTCACAACACGATGCTACATTTAAATGCGAGCAAAGACGGTGAAGAGAATAAAAGTAATACGATAACAGCCGCGGGTAACGATAATAGTAACACAAGTCGTTCCGATAACGAAATCATACCAGTCACAGCACACAGTACAGTCGCCGCGACGGCGGCTGCGCCGGATAAACACGTTATGTTATCCACCGCCGTCATAAAAGTATATGATAAAATGGGTAATGCGATACATTGCCGTGCGCTATTGGACTCTGGATCTCAAAACAATTTTGTCACGGAATATATGGCACAAACCCTTCAATTAGGCCGAAACAAAATAAAGAGCGATGTCTCCGGTATAGGTCAATCAGTGCACACTATAACGTCCGCGGTGACGGTGAAGATAAGATCCCGCACAAGCGATTACGAAAAAACCATATCTTGCTTAATATTACCCAGATTAACTAATGACATACCCGCACAGGTCATTGACCCAAAACGTATAAATGTACCAGATAATATTGTATTGGCTGACAACGCATACAATAAGCCGCAAAAAATTGATATGTTATTAGGTAATGAATTGTTTTTCGACTTAATGCGTCCAGGGCAAATTAAATCGAGCAGTGCCGGGCCAATTATACAAGAGACGAGGTTAGGATGGATAATTGCTGGTCCTATACCAAAATGCAAGAATAATATCGATCGGGGAAATATTACGTTACTAAGCGAAATCGTAGTAAATAATTTGGAGGATCAAATTTCGAAATTTTGGCGCTTAGAAACTGTATTAAATGATAAAACGAATTATACAATGGAAGAGAAGGCTTGTCAAGCGTATTTTAATCAAACCGTTCGCCAAGGCGTAGACGGTAAATTTATTGTAAAATTACCATTTAAAACAGAAATAAAAGAAATAGGCAATTCTTACCCGGCTGCGCTACGACGGTTTTTTTCATTGGAAAAGCGATTTCAATTCAACCCTGTATTAAAATTAGAATATAGTAAATTTATGAAAGAATATATTGAATTAAATCATATGGATGTCGTCTTGGAAAACGAAGAAGAAAAAATCGGTGTAAATGACTATTTTTTACCGCATCATGCCGTGATAAATACAAATAGTACTACTACTAGACTGCGCGTGGTATTTGATGCGTCATGCAAAACGGACATAGGACTTAGTTTAAATGATGCGTTGTTAAAGGGTCCTACTATACAGGAGGAATTGATTACTATTTTGGCGCGTTTTAGAAAACATAAATTCGCGTTCTCCGCAGACGTATCAAAAATGTATCGCCAAATATGGGTGGACCCGCAGCAGCGTAGCTATCAAAAAATTATTTGGCGCGCAAATCCCGAAGAGCCACTGCGTACCTATAGATTGAACACGGTAACGTACGGGACGGTTCCAGCTTCATTTTTGGCGACCGGGTGTTTAGCTAAGTTAGCCGAAAAGGAATACCACATGTTTCCGGACGCCTGCGACGTTATTAAATCCGATTTTTACATGGACGACTATTTGGGTGGTGCGGACACCAAAGATAACGCGTTAAGGTTACGTAATTCGTTAATCGAAGTTATGCTCCGGGGTGGTTTTCCACTAAGAAAATGGATGTCAAATACTTCCGAGCTACTCGCCGATATGCCCAATATAGGAAATAAATCAATGACCATAATGGAGCTTGAAAATAAAATGACTAAAATTTTAGGCTTATTATGGTGTCCGGAACGCGATGTTTTTAAATATAAAATTGAAATAACAACGCTCAACGATCTACCAGTTACCAAAAGAGATATATTATCACAAATCGCTTCATTATTCGATCCGCTAGGACTCGTTGGTCCTATAGTAATACGCGCAAAAATATTAATGCAAAAATTATGGCAATTACAATGCGATTGGGATAAGCCTGTACCGATTGTAATTCAAAAAGAATGGAAAAGTTATGTAAGTTCTTTAAATTATTTACGTGAATTAGAAATACCTAGATATCTTGGTACCGAAACTGACTATGAAATACAAATACATGGCTTTGCCGACGCTAGCTTATTAGCATATGGGGCATGTTTATACATTCGTTGTTCGAGTAATAAAAATGTACACGTCACCAAACTTATTTGCGCAAAATCAAAAATAGCACCGTTAAAAATAATATCCCTACCTCGCCTGGAGCTATGCGCTGCCGTAATACTCGCGCGCTTAGCAAATAAAGTCTTACCGAAATTAAAATTAAATATAAAAAATAAATATTTTTGGACAGACTCGTCTATAACATTAGCTTGGATCACTTCCCCGTCGTCAAAGTGGAAAACTTTCGTGGCTCACCGAGTAAGTGAAATACAGGATATGACCAGGTTAAATGAATGGAATCACGTGAGCACTCAAGACAATCCAGCCGATTTAATATCGCGCGGTTGCGGGGCCGATCAAATAATAAATAATGATTTATGGTGGGAGGGCCCTCATTGGCTCGCCGATAATTCCGAAAACTGGCCAAAATCAAAGATCAACGTTAACGCCGGTATAATACCGGAAGCAAAAGAAAAAATCACTTTATTGATAGAACCCGTAAATGAAAACTTAATTAAAAATTATTCATCGTGGAATAAATTATTACGAGTGTTTGCTTATTGTTTACGTTTTATTAAAATCCGTGTCAAAAAACTTGAAGTCATTGGTCCTATTCAACTCGAAGAACTACGAGCAGCTGAAATTGCCGTTATCAAAATAACACAATCATACTACTGGTCAAGTGAAATAAATGGTTTAATAAATAATTCTATTCTGCCGAACAACAGTAAGTTGAGAAATTTGCAACCTTTTTTAGAAAATGGAATTATGAGAGTCGGTGGTCGATTAAAAAATGCTCTATATTTAGACCAATTTCAACGTAGTCCTATTTTAATACCTCAAAATAGCGCTATTGCAAATTTAATATTGCAAAATGAACATGAAAAATTGATGCACGCCGGTCCTCAAGCTATGTTGGCCAATACACGATTGAAGTATTGGATAATAGGCGGTCGAAATACTGCAAGACATATTTTTCATAAATGTATTAAATGTTTTAGACTCCGACCTATTATAGTGAAACCTATAATGGGAAATTTACCAGCGGAACGCCTAGAACCATGTCGAGCTTTTAAAAAATGCGGAGTGGATTTCGCCGGTCCAATCACAATCAAAACCAGTTTGAGAAAAAAGGCAGCAGTGACTAAGGGCTACATTTGCGTCTTCGTTTGTTTTAGTACTCGTGCTGTCCACATAGAACTTGTAAGTGATCTGACCAGCGATGCATTTTTGAACGCGTTAAAAAGATTTATTGGTCGTCGTGGTGTATGCTCTGATATATATAGTGACAACGCCACTAATTTCGTCGGCGCCAATAAAAAGCTTTCAGAGCTTAAATGTTTGTTCCAGTCAGCGACCCATTTGGACAAAATGTATAATGCGTTAGCAACAGAGGGTATTAATTGGCATTTTATCCCCCCCCCGATCTCCTCATTTTGGTGGGTTATGGGAGGCTTCTGTAAAATCTATAAAAACTCATCTGTACCGGGTATTGGGCGAATCGCATTTGACATATGAGGAATTAAATACTATTTTAATAAAGATAGAAGCTGTCTTAAATTCTCGCCCATTCACTCCTCTTTCCTCCGATCCTATGGACGCGACACCATTAACACCAGCTCATTTCCTTATTGGTGAACCTGCCTGTTCAGTACCTGAACCTGACTTGTCGTCTGTACCTGATAACCGCTTGAAACGATGGCAGCGCGTGACTCGACTTACGCAGTGTCTTTGGAAACGTTGGAATGACGAATACTTATCCCAACTACAGACCCGAAAAAAATGGTTGTCAAATAAAGGTCCAAATTTAAGCATTGGTACTTTGGTACTAATTAAGGAAGACAACATAACTCCTTTGTCATGGTCTCTTGGTCGTGTAGTACGTGTGCAGGCTAGAGCTGACGGGGTCGTTCGAGTGGCTACTGTTTTGAGCCGCGGGAAGGAGGTAAAAAGGTCTGTCAGAAAATTATGTCCTCTTCCGTTCGAAGGTAATGTTTAGAATTCAATAAAATAAAACACATGTTTTTTGTTGTGTAATTATAATCGTAAAAATTTTTTTTTTATCTGTTAAATATTTATTAATGTAATTTATTTGAAATGAATTTTCTATTGTATCGTAATTCCAAATTTTGTAATTTATAATATTAATATTTTTCGATGTATTATAATATTTAATATTTGTTTAAAGTTTATGTTGAAAATTATTTAAATGTTTCAAGGCGGGCGGCATGTTGACGCGTATATTTTATCTGCCATTGTAAACCGGACTTTGTCGTATTATCGCTCGCGATAGTGAGCACTATGTAATGTCTAATAACATAAGAAGTCTAGTGTCAGTATGCGTTCGACTGCTAATCGCCACGTAAATAAATATATATTAATACCAAATAAACCAACTGTATTATAATATTCTTACACTAAAACAAATCTCATACAGTCCACAAATTAAAATTCGTAATTTAACATATTTGTTAATATTATATTATTTAAGTTATGTATTTCTTCGTTCCGCTCATTTCAAATTTAAATACTATTAAAATTCATAACTCACTAACTAATTGTCAAAAAATTAAATTTTTGCATCGGAATTAATAAGGAATTAAAAATACATTAAGAAAAAGTAAAAAATACGAAAATATTTTTTCAACAACTTAAAATTTGTGGAAACTAAATATTTTCAAAAATATTAATGATTTTTTGAAATGATGAGTGTCTTTCGTTAAATGGATTATCCTGTATATTATTTTAATGACTTCATCAAATGGTTTTCAAAATGTATTTGTTTTTTTTTTTTACTTTTAATTCTTCTCGGATAGGTAATGTTTATAAAATAAAAATAAATTAGTTTCACCGGAATTAAAACATAAAAATTTACCTCGAATACGTTAAATTTCAATCCGACTTGGTATCCCTCTGGTGCTGTAAGTTTCCAAACACACTCTTTGTTTGGTAAATAATCGTCTGGAAAATTGGGCGATTCCAAGTGCCCTTGTTCGTCAGTCACCATGACTTCTCCTCCACAAACGGCTATAAATAAAAAAGAAAAGAACAAAGTGGTTGTTTTAATATCATCCTGCACTATATACGTAGGTGCCTACGACCCGTCATAGACATATTTAAGAGGATGTCAGCGTAATTCTCTCTATTAGACCCACGCAAAACATGAATAAAACGTTTTCACCTAAATTTGTTTTCTATGATTTTTGTGTATCTTAGAGTAAAACCTCATATTGCAATAATTGTAGAGAATAAGTTTTTTGAGGGTTTTACATATCGAATTTATATTTTATTATTATTTGACTTTGTATTTGACTTTCAACCTGAACAATTTTTATTGTAAGTTTAAATTATGTTTAAATTGTATGATTTTGACAAATCGATGTCATACTTTCAAAAATATTATCATTTATAATTTTTGTAGTTGGTGGTTTTACTCTAAGATTACTCAACAACATAAAAATAAATGATTCTGGGTAAATTCTTTTTGTCTATGTTGCTCGTCAGCTAGAGAGAGAAAACAAACAGTGCCGCGCCGACATCCTCTCAAGAGAAATTTTTAATTATTTTGAAATTTTTCTGACTTAAAATATTAGTCACATAATCCAATTGGTAGTTAGGTATACACAGTTTTTTTTAACAATACAATTACGAACATAACGCACATTGAGAGTATCATAATTATAAATTATAATATTATGATTATTGTTGAAAGTATTAGATAACTTGATATTTCAGGTATTCTTACTTATAAATACTTTAAACACGTTTGAACAAGTTCCGAATACTATTAATAATCTTTTTGAAAATGAAAATAGCTACTATCAATTTCAAAAAAAACATTCTGTAATTGTAAATGAAAATAAATATATTTCTTAAATACACCAAGGTGAGAACGTTGAGTTTAAAAGTTCTTCAAACCAAAATATTTTCCTAGAAATGTTGTCGAGTTTGAAATATGAACCCATAACGTTGATGTGGAACGAAGTTTTACTGCTTACAAGCACATTGTTACAAACCGTCGTTATAATAAATTTAACCGAGACCAATATGGAAAGTATTATTGTTACTATTACTTATTGTTTTTTTTAATAACGTTTAAATTGTATATTTTTTTCATCACAACCATAAAATACATAAAATATAAAAAATAATATTGTAGTTTGTTTATATAATCATTTTTTCATCATTAGTTTTTTGATTTTACAACTTTACAATGCGCTGTAATATACCACAATTATTGTTTTGCATATTTTGTGGTTTTTAAGTGCATATTTGAAAAGTTTTAGGTGCATACCTTACAATTGAAAATACATAATATATTATAAATCCGGTCTTTGGATGTATAATAGATGACTTCATAGATAAATAAAATCAATAGCACGAATGACCACGGAATATTAAGAAAGCATCACTCATCATTAGTATATTATATACCCATCATTGACAGTTTACGATTTAGCAGTATCAAAGATTGGTTAGACCAGTTTTGCTCCTTTTAACCGCAGTGACTTTTCAAAAATTTGAAGGAGAGTATTATGTGTTTTATTATTCCATGCGGTGTTGATGAAACCTCCACTTTGACTGAAAATTAAGATAGGACCAACTGATTAACTGATGGTATTCTATAAGGTATATTCGTGGGAGGAGCTTTGGTCGCTGTTGGTATAATATATTTATATATAGAATAGTGCATATTATATAAACATTTTGACGACGACAGATTGATCGGAAACACTGATACCTACTCCTATAGCTGATATTAACGACTGTTTAATAATAATAGTTGTAAATCCCTCAATATTATTAAAGAATAAATGATAACGGATAAAATAATGTGTATTCACCAACCTTCGTAATTCGCCGTGAATCCTTTGTATTTTGTACCTTTGTCGGATATCATAAAACTGATGAGCATCCTGCTGTTGCCAGTCACGATGAGGTCTTGAATGCGAACACTCCCACAAAACCTGCCTATATTAGCAAACGATAAATATTTATTATTCGATAATATTATACGTAGTTACTACTAAATAGAATACTGTCCATCTAAATCGAATAGAAATTTGAATCTATTTTATTGACCATTACATTTAACTTGTTGTTTTTACAAAATACATTTTCCATAAGAGAAAAATAACTAAAATATAAGCGTTGCAAGTTATTACTTACACAATCCACGGCAAATGTAGATAGTTTATATTTTCCTGGATTAATTGCTTAAAATTCAGAATTATTTATAAATCTTTAGAGTTTAACTCAAGATCCAAACAAATGTAGCGTTTATTAATGAGCACAAAATGTAATACAGTTGTAATTTATATTTTATGTAAGACTGTAAGAGGTCTAAAAATATTATACGAGCACGTTTTATTTTAAATTCTGCCAATCTTAACTTTTTAATTATTCTAAAAACAATACCAAGATTACAATACAATTAAACAATGATCAGACAACTGATTCAGTGCTGTTGTAATAATTGTGCCCTGTGATTATTTTTTAATGCAGTGTATTTACTGTATAATACAAATAAAAAAGGACAGTTAAAAAACAAAAAGATTACCTATTAATATATTGAATGTATATACAACATACATAGTAACATAAAATATAAACTTAAGTAGGTAGTAGGAACCTTTAACTTGGAAATAAAGTTTGATCTTATAAATTTGCAAATTTTACCAAAAAACATAATCACAAAATAACTGAAGTAACTTATTAAAAAAATAAAAAAATGCTCAAAAACTACGTCTCAAATGTGTTTATTATTATGATTCCAATAACACATGGTTAACCTATTTCACTAAAACATTCAAGTTTGTAAAGAGTAATTAGAATAATATAAAATATAATAGTATAATAATTTTGTTTTATTGGATTTTCCGGTCAAAGTAATAAAAATAACAAATTTTATATTTAATGGCAGTTAATCAAAAAGTAAATCTCAGTTTTTTTTAAATTTCCATATCTATCCTATAAACGATAGGTACATAACAAGTTATATTTTGAAAAATATTTTTTTACTGCTATAAAATATTATACGCGCATTTCGTTTGCAAATGAAAATCAAAACTTAAACTTAATTAAATATTGTCCGGAAAAAGTACCTTAAATTATAACGGTAATGTAAAATGGTTTTTGAGTACAAAAGTTTTTTTTTTTCCAAAACCGTTTTATCAAAGAAGAACTGTTTACGGAACGGTTTAGTTTACATAGCGACAAATGCTTTTTACTTCATGTAATATATTATGCATTGAAAGAACTCTTTGATTAGTAATTAGTTTATAATATAGGTACAACTGCAGAAGTATACAGAAAAAGTGCTTACTGTTTGTAGTGACTGGTATAAAGTAGCGCACCTGCTTCTACGAAATTTAAATAATTGCCAATTCCAATTTTTTTTTATTTAGTGTTTTGAACACCGCTCTTTGCGACAACTTCCATAATTGGAGTGGAAAAATTCTACTGTTTCCGTCGTGAAACAATGAGACTTTCAAAACAATATGTCGCTATACACTCATTACCGCATACGGAGAATAAGTCGAAGCAAAGGTCAGGTCACAACTTTGTGAAAGCTCTATCCATATATTGTTTTTTCTACCCGCCCAATATTATTTAATACGCCTCATTTATTCGTATATTACCTATAATAATATCTATGCATCGAAAGTTTATCAAAATACCAGAACCACGATGACGATGATCGAACACTTACCGAGCAGTGGAGATTTGTGCCAGTACCCGTCGCGGATTTCCAAATAATCGGTGTTGCATTGGTCGGATTTCAGTATGTCGAGCTCGGTGATGTTTAGCACGATACGCTCGCCATGGGTGGCCGTAATGCGCCATTCGCACCTGTCTCCGTACTCCTGTCCAGGTTCGGGTGAATAACCGAAAATGCCGCTGTTCTCCTGCAAGGTCTTGCCACATCCTTGAAAACAATAATAATACAATAGCAGTATATTATAAGGCAAAGGATTACATAATATTATCTGGTTCAGCCAATTTGAATATAGTTATTATCCCTCCCGCCCCCGCGGGTAAACTACGCCTAAAATTTCACAGTTCCACAAAAATACTGCGTCATGCGATGATTTTGTAACTCTAAAACATAAAATATTTTGATTTTAGACCATTAATTAATTAATATTGTAATTCATCTTACAGAACTTGGAAGCGCAACATCATCAAACACATTGATGATTATCGCAACGGTTTATATTATAATATAATGTTTTTTTAATTTCCCGATCGAACTATGCATACTAATTATAATAATATATAACGAGAAGTTGAAGCAAAATTATTCTTTTATAAACGCTATAACATAATCGTACTTTATATTGCTTCTCAGAACTCGTATAAGTATACATTATTAAACTATTTAAGTACATTGACACGTGGTTGTTACAGATAAGAAAGTTCCGCTAAGCCTTTACATAATATTCGTAAAATCCCAGAATTCTAATCCGTCCTATCGTAATATATAGGACGTAGGTATATAGTAATAAATAATAATAACGATGGCTTGGCATTCCCCAACGATGTCTACAACCTGTGCCTATACTGCACATGAGTACATGACACACAGCCAGCTTCATACAGTCCCCAAAACTGTCATTGTATCATATAAAAGTTTCCTACCACGTAATATCCACCCCTATATGTATAATTTATGTAATATTATCATAGAAATCTTCTTATTAAAAATGTACCAACTTTCAGACACTGCTATCGCTAAGATTTCTCCAAGGTGACATATAAGGCGCCGATGCAGGGATATCAAATTCTAAATATTATTATTGATGAGAAAAAACAATTGAAAATTTAAATGTGCCATCGCTAATGGTAGTAAGTAGTGATTTATATTTTCAGTGTATAATTTCTTATGCATATTTCAAATGAACATTCAAAAAATGTGATAATTATTTTTATTCGAAGAACCATAAATATTATATTATGGTTTAAGACCATATAGGTTGTACAGCGGGTTTTAATAAAAGATTAATATTTCTTAGAATATTGTATAGGTACTATTATATTGTTTTAGCGATATATATTAGTATTTTTAAAATCTATTAATATCAATTCAACCGGCAAAATTAAATGACGCTCAAAAAGCATTTTCATAACAATATGCTATCAAATATATTATATAGCTAATCGTGGAATAACATTTTTCGAGTTGTGTCGAACGCCTTCAACGAGACATCGATGTAAAATTAGTTGCCTATACCGCATGTGTATTTCAAATCGGAGGTCAACTGCGGTACATTGATTAAATAAATAAATATATCGTTTTACTCACTGTAACATTTGTACAAAAGCTTCGTCTGGGCTATGTCTCCTTCACTGAGACGGACACGCTGTCCGATCTCTGGACGTTTCTTCAAATTTCTTACCGCATCAATCGGATGTATGGTCTCTAAATACGATCCCTGGAAATAAGACAACACAATATTATACGTTGAAATGGAGATATTATTTAAACAAACATAATAATAATATGTTCAAGGAGCATTAATAATATTCTACATATAGGACGAACGTTGTCCGGCCGAAGGGCGTACTATCATTATCGTCAAATATGAACCATATAAAATAAAATATAATATTATGCTCTCTAGCAATAAGCCTCTCGATCGAACGTTTCACCGCTCAGCCAATGACGTGCACAAGACTCGTTAAAAATATAATAATAAATATTATATGAGAAAAACTGCGTAAAGGATTTTTAAGTACAAAGAGATTACAACGGTGGAAAAAAATATCCTCCCTGCGACTACCTATGACTAAAGCAGTATCGTAACTTTTAAGTAGCAAATATTTAACGGATACAAGAAAAAGGACACTCTAAAACGGCGTGGAGCGCCGCTCAACTACTTTCCCGTTGGTCGTTTCTATACATTGCATTATAAGTACGACGTGGTGGGCGTATAAAATAAAATAAAACATTTGATTTTGTATCCACAAGTGTACATAATATAATATTGTTTAATAGATCAGAGGTTTCCAATATTTTCAACGGTATACGACCCAATTTGGAAATTTTTTTAATTTTGGCAACCCATGGCATACTAATGAGTAATGACCCTTTTTTAAATTGTTGATCTTTATTTTTGCGATAACTTTTAGTCCAGTAGCGGTACTCTCATAATCGTCACGGATAATTATCAATGACAAAAATAAATTCAAACATCAACAAATATTAGTAAAATATGTACAATATATAGGTATATAGTTACACAGAAAAATACTGAAAAATAATATATAAAATATATCTTTAATTTTTTATATGTATATATTTCAAATTTAAAGTGACACATCAGAAATATAATTGCCACCCATTTTTGGTTTGGCGACTCGCGACCCACATTTTCGGAATCTCTTTAATAGATTATATTGTAATCGAATTCGGTAATATTATAACGTCCGAACCGACACTAAACTGAAACGTTAAAAGCTCGTCATCTGACGTGCAATAAAAAAATCATAATAATATACGTTTACCATCAGTGCCTCTGCGGTGAAAAACGAAATATCTATTATGTACAAGTGACTTTATACGCGTGGACGATTTTATTAAATGAACGGCTACAAGACAGGAGTACAATATTAAAGTTGGTGCGTAAACACCTCTCAGTCATAAACGCTTGTAGACAAAAACTTTTTATTTTGTATAAACAAAAATTAAAATCAATATTATATTTTTTTATATTAAATTCAGTATATTAAGTGCTGTTTTCAACGATTTAAAAAAATATGATTTATGTAGTGTCATTTTCGAAGAGTTCAAATTCCTTTTTAGGTATATTAGGTTAGGTTATATTTAATTTTTGTGGATATTTTTTAAAATTATTATTTCTTAATATAATATAATATAATATAATATAATATAATACATACATCAAAATTTAAAACCTTTTCTCGATGATGCCTAAGAAGATAAAAAAATCCATAAATCCGTTTCAATAAAATAATTCAAAATATGGCATCTTTTTAAAAATTAAGTCAATCGTAAATAATTAAATTCGTCGGAAATGGCACAATAATTATTGGAAAATATATCACAACATTATCGATACGTATGCCGCAACGGATGGATAAGACCTAAAACCCAAGTACGTGAAACAGTCGTTTCGATCGCTTTTTTGGATATTTACTTAAAGGATCCTACCTCAAGGATCCCCCCACCACCATTTAACAGCCAAACGCTATAATTGCCACCGACGACTTATTTCTTTTTAATTATCATTTGGTGGCTGTTCGTGTATACAGCTTGAAAGCACTCGGGAACCACGACAGAGACAAGTAGTGGAGTACTTCCGTATTATGTGATATTAATATTATTATATATAATAGGCGAGGGAAAACACGTGACGACACATTCTGTATACATCTACAGATATTTTCTAGCATAAATACAACGTGCTTCACCAAGCATGATCACCCCCACATTTTCTTGTAATAATGAATTTAATCAAAATTTTGAATTTCGGAATTTTTAAATATGCTCAAAGACAGCTTTCTCAAATTCTTAATTTTTTTATGCTACTTAATGAGTGTCTTGTGGTGATACAATTTTCTGTTATTCAAATGAGAACCCCCCTTTTTTTACTATAAATAATTTATAGTGGTAACATTTTATTTTAGAGGATAATTTTTTTTTTAATTTAGTGTATATAGGTGACTAGATAGTTCGAAATTCTAATGAGTAAAATCAAAGTTATTTAAATTGTCTGTACTAAGGATAATAGTCCTTAAAAATAGTTTTACAAAAATATAAAGTAAACGTAATATTGGATCTATTATATTTATTACTTCCTTGGACCATTTTTACAAATTATTTATGTCGATAGATTAAAATAAATTACTAAAAATGTTTAATCACCATTGCCCCACATTCTATAAACTCATTACCTACGGACCTTTTATCCTTAAAATACAAGGTTAAATAACTCAAAAACTACTAGTATGAATTTTGATTCTGATGGATCAAATTTTTCTGAAAAATTATCCACTAAATAATTTACAGTTGAAAAAGGGGGTTCTCATTTGAAAAACAGAAGCTTGTATCTCCACAATATACTCGCCTCGAGTTGTACAAAAAATCTCAATAATTTGAAAATATGGTCTCTTTTGTATATTTAAAAAATCCAAAAATCCGTTTTTGAATACCTATAGTGAGCATGCTTGGTGAACTACTCCGAACATGTAATATGTACAAACATGAGTTTGTGTCGATTGCAATTTCCGAGGGCTTGTAAATTTCATTTGTTATTTTTCGCGATTGACCGTCATTAAATAGATAGATAACCGCCGTACGACGAGTGTAAATGCGACAACGACGAATAATGCACAGACATTAAACGCGAAAACGCTGATTTTTACAGTTTGCAGCTCCCTCGGATAATGTTATTTTATATGAAAATATATTATTATTAATATTAGTTTTTTGTTTCGTACACCGGACCCACCCCCCCCCCCCCCCATCGCACGATTTATACCTTCCCTTTTCAAAACGCACATGCGGACGCCCATAAAAAGTGACAGATGTACGGATACTAAAACAATATAAAAATACATTATATTATGCGTTAGATTTAGAGTCCTCGATGAGCCTCCGGTCGCGTCGCACACACGTGTGTTAAAACAAAATAAAATCACAGACCATGAATAACGATGGCGATATGACGTGTTGTAGTCGTTCGGTTCTAAACGAATCGGATGAGTATAATAATATTATTATAAACGCTCGCGTCCAAGCCGTATTATCGTATTGATTTATAAATGAACAATATTTAATCAATGGTATTATTGGTATTTTGATTGACTGCGAGTGAAAAAAAAAAACTGAAATACGTCCGTCGTCTGCAATATAAATGTACCTACGCTGGTGGGTATGAATTTTTAAATAATATTTGCGTTGAGTAATAAATTGATTTATAAACAATTTTCCGCTTTTGTAAAAACAACTCTATAATACGAAATAATAATTCAGTTGAGAGTATAAAAAATAAAAATAAAAAAGGCACGGTTTGCTTTAAGTCACCCTATTACTATGGCTGATAACAATTTTTATGAAATACGAGTATAATAGGTACCGATTGGTATTCGAAAAAAAATTTTAGTCGATTATTTATTCGAAATAACATATCAGCTCCCTTATAAAATGTAATCTAAATGGTACTACTTTACAATCGTTCAGAAATCGTATTAGTTTTAAATACTGCTTGACTAAAATCTTAATATTTTGTTGAAATTGCCTATTTAAAACCCCTTAAACAGTGTGTGTGCCGGAAGAGTAAATTTCAATAATTATCTATTTACCGCTGTGACATGCTTGAAAAATATCTGCGTTGGATATTTTGGTATTCGTTTAGTATGTCACCAACCGGACCGATAATTAGTTAAAAAATAATCAAATCAAAAAAAAAATACAATGAAGTTATTTTATTATTATTAAGTAATTAATTAGTAATTCAAATATAAATAGGTAAAATCAGTAAAAAAAATGTATGAATACACATATCTATAATACAGCAATAAATTATACCAAAGTTAGTCACAAAATGTCATACAATTATTTTATTATTAAAAAATTCAATTTAATTTAAAAAAAATGTTTAGCAATACACTATTTAGTATTTTGTATATCACTTCAAAAGTTTTAAAAAATATGTCTTCCCTAATAATAAATCGGTACCTGTACGTTATCCGTACAAAATGTAGATAATCGTCTTGGTAGGTCACATAATATACTAAACTCGATTTTCGATCGGTAGGTCACGTCATATACTAAACGAATGCTGATATTTTTCATTTAATATAATAATCATAATAATAATATATTGTCTGTAAAAATAACGAGATAGCGGGGTATTGACAGAGGTTCTGGTTTATTATATTATATTATATTGTATTTCAGTAGATGATATCAATAATAATAAACAAAATAAACGAATATATAGTATTATAGGTATCTATATTATGATTTATGATATATTATGTGGGACGCGTCGTAGATACGTTAAGTCTAGAAGAAATTTCTGGAGTGTTTTGAGGCTTCTTCAAGTATATTAAAAGCTCATAGCGTCGTTTCTATCGTATTACCTAGTATTATTTCGCATAGCGGGAAACAGACTACGGATGTCTCCGTGTAACAATTATATCGGATGTAATATATATGTATCTGCAGTAAAGGATTTCGAGCGTGTGACACGTCACGCCACAGTTTAAGTTTAGACGACTTGAGTGGATTTCGGCTGACTGCTCGTTATCTGTTTTATTTTCGAACCTTAGACAGTGCCATAATATATTTGATCGTGACGATGGTACGCAGGGTGGTGGGCCTGCAAGACTTATAGGCTGCAGCCTTCAGTAGGTAGTAATAGTTGTACAAGTTATAGCCACATATAATAATATGAGAAAACTGTCA